CTAAGTAGCTGGAACTACAGGTGCATGCTATCACGACTGGCTTATTTTTAATTGGTTGTAGAGATGAGGTCTCTCCAAGTTGCCTAGGCGGGTCTCGAACCCACGGGCTCAGGCAATCCACTCACCTCGGCCTCCCAAAGCGCTGGGATTACAGGCTGAGACACCGAGCCTAGCCTGAGACTTTTATAAAATCAATAAAAATGAATTTTCAGAGCAATGAAATAAAAAAGGCAACATACAAATCCCATTTACAGAAATTATTAGATTTTACTTATGTGAAATTTTTTTTTTTTTTTTTTTTTTTTTTTTTGAGTTGGAGTCTCACTCGGTTGCCCAGACTGGAGTGCAATGGCCGATCCCGGCCACCGCAGCCTCGACCTGCCGGGCTCCGGCGATCCTTCCACCTCAGCCTTCCAAGTAGCTGGAATTACAGGCATGCGCTACCACGCCCGGCTGATTTTTTGATTTATTGTAGAGATGAGGTCTCGCTGCCCAGGCGGGTCTCGAACCCGCGGGCTCAGGCAATCCACTCACCTCAGCCTCCCAAAGGCGCGGGATTACAGGCTGAGCCACCGAGCCCGGCTTATGTGAAATTTTACAAGTTCACATATGCCATAAATGTTTTAACTTCTATACTTAACTAGTGACAAGACAGGCAAATGGTGTTGGTCTGTGAGTAGTGCTAGGTTTGATGACATTCCTCTGCAAGTACCTTCCTGGGCTCCAAACACATGTATATGCAGTGCCAGAGTTTCCAACATGCAGGAGGGACTCAACTAAGAAAAAAATATGTGTTTTATATAACCGAGCCCAGCTCACACGAGCCCTTTAAAGCAGAGAACTTTCTCAGACAGGCGTCAGATTTAAAACTTCATTGCTTGTGTGTGTCTGTTGGGTTGGGGGGCACATGGAAAGCATGAGAAGGAATGTGGAGCAAAGGCTAGATTCTGGCTGACAGCCAGTAAGGAAATGGGTACCTCATTCCTATAATTGCAAGGAACAGATTTTGACCAACAACCTGAACAAGCCGCCAGTAGGGAATGTAGTCCTGTGAACACCTTGCTTTTGACCTTATGAGACCCTAAGCAGAAGACTCAGTTGAGTCCACATGGACTTGTGAAATAATAAATTTGTGTTGTTTTAAACTGCTACATTTGTGGTGATCTGTCATGTCAGCACTGTATTAGGATACTGATACAGTGGTAGAGTTGGGGTGGATTTAGGGTAAGCTCACCCGTGCACCTGGTGCAATGCCTGGCACACAGTGAATGTTCAGATATTTGTTGAATGATGTCTTTCCAGGAAAGGAAGAATTTCAAACGAGTTTGCGACATCAGCTAGAAAACATTGGACACAGGGGAAGGAAGTATTTTATAAGCATAAGGTATTTAACAGTAAAATGGTAGGGATAGTCACTTAGTGGTAAAATTAGCTTGCACTGAATCACTGCAGCCTAGTCTGAGAGAGCATTGTTAAATCAGCTTCATGAGTGGTGACCACCAGCATTAAAAAAACAGAAATAGAAAATGCCAGATTGTATCATAGGTGTTCAGATAAGAATTGTGTGAGATGATCTGGGTACTGTGGGGTCCCAGCATGAGTTCTTTCTTCCAGACAAAAGCATTGTCTGAATGCCTATGGGGAGGGGCTGGTCAAGTGGGTGAGTAGTTTGTAAAGTATATTTCCAAAGATTGTATGGATTTCCCCATTTCTCCTTTTCCACATAGTATCATATTTTACTCTTTTGTGCTGATTGAGGATTATACTCTCTGCTATCCTTAACATTCCATTTCTTCACCCTGGCATATGGAAAAGACAACCTCAGGGGTTGTGTTGTGTCATTTGGGCATTCTCCAGAGTCACCAGTGGCAGCTTTCCTTTGCCTGGAGCCCAGGGTCCTCAGGTTGTGGCTGGGGGCTTTGCACCTCTACCAGTGTCCGGCCCAGTGTTTCTTGGTGCTTCCTGTGGTGAACTTACCTCTCTCTTCACAATTCACATTAACTCCTGGCTTGTGACATTCTTGCTTAATTCTCAGTTTTGTGTCTTTGAGTCTTTAACACCTTAAAATGTCTTTGTCCCAGAGAAGGCTCCACTATAGAAAACTTTCAGATTTCCAATATTTGGTGATTACTTTCACCCAATTCC